CCTTGGCAAGCTTCTCTGCCAGCTCCTTCAGTGCTCTCACAGGTAGATTCCATCCAGCCCCATAGACTTCTGTGTCCAGGTGGCACAGCAGGTCATTAACTGCTTCCTCCTGGATTATGGGGGAGTTTATTCCACTCACCGTCCCCATCTTCCAGCTCGGGAGGCTGGGTACCTTGGGGATAACTCGTCGGGCCATTAAAGACCGAGGCAAAGAATTGTCCCAGTGAGAGGCGATCACCCAGCTGGGCGGCATCGAGGAGGGTGCTGGGGTGCACTCCCACCTCTTGGCTGCCTTTTCTCCCACCGCCTTTGCAAATCTGCGCCTTGTTTCCTGAACCCCGGGGAGATTGCGCTTGCCCTGTGCTTCGGAGCGCCTGGTGAGGGTGCCAAACATCTCAAGGGTTCGCCAAACCACAAGGCTGCAGCAGACAGTTGTCACCATCTGGTGAGGGTCATAGAATGTTTTGGGTGGGAAGGGACCCCTAGAGGTCATCTAGTCCAACCCCATGACCTTGAGGACATGGCTCTACTGGAGGGAAAGGTGCCCATGCTGCAGCCACTTTGGGGTGGAAGAGATGGCTGCTGAGCAGGTGCCTGCTCCTGGGGCGGGAGGAGCGTGTGGCACCAAGAAGTGGAGGAGGAGAGGGGTGTGGGAGACCGGTCTGGGAACGCTTTGTGCCTTCAAAGCCTCCTTTCAAGGCCTCTCTAGGGACCAGCTGCCACTTGGTGTGATGTTACTGAAAAACACCGCACTCACGTGTGCTGCTGCTTTTTCTTTTCCTGTCTCCTTATCACTTGTAGCTGTAGCGCATCCCCTTATCTGGGCAGGCATTTCAGGAAGCTGCGGCCCTGTGTCTGATCAGCAATATTTCCTGAAATGTTCTGCTGTCTCAAACCAAGGGGGCCAGCCTGACGCTGCTCTGTAAACAACGAACCCACAGAGCCGTCAAATGTCAAAGCACTCAAGGCTGCGGAGCCGGCAGCTTTTCCTAAAGGCCTTCGCAGAACAGCCAGGCATCGAAAGCCACGAAGTTATCTAAGGCCTGCAACATCTACATTCACTTTATAGATAAACGCTGTCTTTTCCCATTCGGAATGTAATAATTTTTTTTCGGGGAAATGGTACTTCTCTCCCATTCCTCAGAGAAAACAGAAATAAAAATTAAATACTGTTTCCGCCACCTTGCCGCAAAACTTGCAGCAGCCCATTACTACTTGGTGACCTAATAGAGGCAGTTTTCCTTTAGTTCTACTCATAAAAGCTGATCAAGATTTTGGCAAGTAACATCCCATCCTTTCCTCTGCTGGGCAGCTGTAAATGTAATTCCAGTTTTCCAATGTATGTTTTCCCCTGCCGCCAGAAGGTCACCTTGGCATTTTCCAGTGGCGGTAGGCTACCTTTTCCCTTTACACAGAGCCAGCTCTGCCCTGGCATTCACAAGATCCATGAAGTCTCTTGCTATCCTTACAGGTGGGTGTCATGAGGACAGAGCCAGACTCTTCCCAGTGGTGCCCAGCGCCAGGACAAGGGGCCATGGGCACAAACTGAAGCAGAAGAGGTTCCAGTTGAGCGTGAGGAAGAACTTCTTGACTTGGAGGGTGCCCGAGCCCTGGCCCAGGCTGCCCAGGGGGCCTGTGGAGTCTCCTTCTCTGGAGATCTTCAACCCCCGCCTGGACGCTGTCCTGTGCCCCCTGCTCTGGGTGAGCCTGCTTGGGCAGGGGGGTGGCACTGGGTGAGCTCCGGAGGGCCCTGCCAACCCCTGCCAGTCTGGGATTCTGTGATTCTTCCACCTACGAGGACCGGGTGTTTGCCTCAAGGGCTGGCATTCAGCCCTCAGCATGTCTCATGAGAGCTGCTCAGAAAAAAGTTCTCACCCCGTAGCAGCCCAGCCCAGGAACTCCTGTCAGTCTCTGCAGTTAGAAAGGAGAACGTCTGCCAGGAAGGACATCTGGTCTGGAGATACCATTCAGCCTCCACTTCCCCCATTACCAAGGGCTTTTTGCTGCAAACTCTCTCTTCCTCTCAACTTTCATACCTCATCTGTGGGCGTAAATTTGAAAAACTCAGCAGAAATTCAAGTGAGCC